CAAAGGTTATGGTCACAGCTGATGTGTTCAGCGACCTGCTAGAGGCACATGACATGGTAGAGCTTGCAAAAATAAGGAACATCATGGAAGATTATATTACTTACAGTTTTACTAATGTGGTCTGCACTTGAATCAGAAAACCAATTAAAAAAAAATTAAAGAAACAGCATATTCCACTCCAAGCATGGAGTCAATGCAGAAGCCTACCTCAGAAGAAAACGCTTGCACCTGTACTGTTCAACTCCCACATGAATGACAAATCAGTCTATCTTGGCACAGAGATTTATGTACACAGATGCCTTAAGCCTCACAGTCCAAACCAAGAGTCTCATCCACACTGAAGCATTGTTAACACCATTGCTCTCTAGTCTCTTAATTTTTTCATATGAAAACCAAGTGCTAAATCAAAGGTTAAAATGCAAAGAGAGTTTCTTTCACATCAGAAAGTGCAATAAAAACAAATAGCTCAGCAAAATCCGGAACACTCATCATCAGCAGTTGGGAGTGACCAAGGCCTTTCTTTGTGTGGAGAAGACAAAGATTAAGGCTGAAGTTGAGAACACTATGCTGAAGATGCTAATTTCTAAAGGGTTGACCAAGCCAATAATATAGGAAAAGACTGCATTTTACATTCCTATATCTTAATATACACTTCCACTACTGGAAAGATCAGTATGTGAAAAGGCATTAGAGATGGTGATACAAGAAAACTGCCAGTACATCACTACATAAGCAACCTGTGCAGGTTTTTTCTTTACCACTAGCTTCCTGAAGCTTCCCCACCGATGGCCTTCAGGCCAGGCATGCCCTGGCCAGTTACTGAGATGGCCCAGTGTGTACTTTCTTTGTGGATCCAACACTTCTTCACTTCTAAACCAGAAATGAAGACAGTGTTTCCAATTAAAATGAATAGCCTCAGTTTTGATAATACAGATAAGAGCCGCTAGCAGTTCTCACTTTGTTTTCGTACATGGGCTTATCTGGAATTTCTGCTGTTGTAATTAAAAGCAGAATCTGGGAACTAATAGGCATCTGCTTTATCAGAATAATTAAGAAAGAAATACTTATACTGTTCTATGGCAAATAATAGTTTAATGAAATCTTCCACTGCCAACAGTTCGTTGTGGTGCTATAAATGCTGGCCATCTCAAAATGAAATGGTTAAATAGCTGGCGCTTTAATTTGTGCTGTCAATGTTGTCCTGTTGCATTTTCTAACATGGAAAGAATAGGGTCTTTGCAATCAAGATACAGGATTAAAGCAGATGATGCACACTGCTATTTAGTGACTTACTATTGCCAATATAACGAAGAACATGCATGCGTTTTCACCTGCACTTGCCAATTCCCAGCTTTTCACAGTGTACCCATGCCTGAGGGATTTTTATGCTTCCTACCCTTGGGACCCACTGCGCAGTGGAGGTCTTTTTGCTGAGCAATTGAGAAATGGGATACTCCAAACAGACAAAGAATAAAGTCATGGCAGAAAATGCAGCAACTTCAGCTCTCTCATTGCTCTCTGAAAGCCAACAGTGGGAAACTACAGTGGACTGGAGACAGCCTACTAAATAATTTATGACATACAGCGCATTCCTGAATTACTTTTTCTCCATTAGACGTGCATTAACACATGGGACCCTAACACACAGAAAATCTTATCTGGCCTCAGAGAGAAAAAAGTCCCCCACCGTTCCACTACCTCAAGCTAGACAAGAGCTTTGACTACTCTGAGCTAATGCTACTGATTTCTAAAGAGATCGTGCTACAGTTTGCTCTAACTCTGCCGAATTCCAGCTTGGGTTTTAAATATACCTTTGAAACAATCATTACACCAACAACAGGCTTTATCTACTACATTCATTGCTTGAATCTCAGCAGACTATTACCTCAAAAATCTGCCTTTGTTAAACGTGGCATTATTCAATGCTACCTCATTCCTAGTCACAAAACTTCCAAAAATCAGGGAAAACCCCTCATCTAAGACTGCATGCTACATTAAAGTACCATGTTTTATTTTTACACGAGGATTACCGCTCCCCCAGATTTCAATTTATTACTATGGACCATGCAAAATGCCACAGACCACAGAAGCTACATTTTTGAATGGATGTTTTTATTGATTAATCAGTCATTGAATCAAGTATTGTAAAATAAACAGATTTTGTTCATAAAAAATGTCCAGAAGAATACCATTCATAGCAAACTTGTTTCCTCATAGTCATACAGAATATGAAATTGTTCAAGAAACAAGCAAAAAATGAACACCTGACTAATTACTGTCAGTCTGTGTGTGCATATATGTATGTAGGCATATACACAAATTACACACTATATTTGTGTATATACTGGTGTGTGTGTACCCACATATATGTATACATATATACACAAACGTATACATACAAAGAGTACTGACTGAACGAATAGACCACTGGAGAAATGTAGCTTAGCTTCAAATGAAGTATTCTGTGTTAAAGTAAAAATGATACAGCAAGGCCTGTAGATAACAGACCGTTCTTTTTCCATTAGCCAAAACCATGATCTGTCTCTAGACTCACGGTCTATCTTTACAATGAAAATATGTGAGATCATTTGGGATCTTTCCAAATTTATGGTATTCCATCCCACTCAATCTCTGCCAACATTGTATGGCCAAACACTGAACAGTGCTTTCAAGTTGTCCACTACTGAAATCAGCTTCTAGATTTAATATTTCTGGCAAAAGAGAAGATACACAGCCTTGCTACATGTACTTTGGTAATATACCCTTTCCTTTTAAGCAGAAACTTGGCAATAATCCTACATTAAAACTCCTTTCCTCCTACATCTTTTTATCACTGTTTAGCATGAGTGATCTTCTGTAAACTCATTATAATAATTTTCATGCCATCTCAGCTACCTTCTAAACATCCCAGGCCAGATCATCTGGGCAATGTGCCTCAGATTGTATTAGTAGCATTGTGATCAATTAGAAAATGTAACATTTGGGGATTTATTTACTTTTTCATTTTTGAGGACATTTCTTTATTATTAAATACACTGCAGTTCACTATATGTACACATTTTTTCTTACTTATGTCAACTCTGGAAAGATCAGTGACTCCTACCTGTGAACCATGGGATGATGCCCCAGCTGAAAGCCATGGTATCAGCAATCTCCATTTGATTCAGCATTTAGCAGGGCATGTAAAGGGAAATCAAATTAACATGGTAGGCATTTATTTTCTATTAAAAAAAAGGAAAAAAATCAAATAGGCATGTATGTATTCCTCGTCTTCCTCATAAATTTTCTACGTCATCGTAAGGCAAACTGTAGTACAGCTTGGTAACTGGAGAATCAGTATTTAAAAAATCTGAAGCTGAGCTTGGGACCATTTTAGTTTGGACCCATTAGTGAACAAAGTGCATTAAGGCATCCTTTTCAAAAGACACCTAAAGCATGGTTATAAATTACCGAGCAAATCTTTTCTTAAAGCTGGTATTCAGTTTATCCTCTTTTCTACACAGGCAGATTTTCACCTCTTGCACAACAAAACACTGTAGGAAAACCATTCTTTTAAAGTTGTCATATGCCTCAAGCATCTCCCAAATGATCATTTATACATAAGCATTGTAGTAATTACAAAGGGCTTCTGTTCTGTAGAAGGAAAAGAGAAAAAAAAAATGCACCTGATTCAGCTGTGAGATAAAGTAGGTACAACCTCTATTGCCTTCAATGAAGTTTATCCACCAACACCAGGATGAACGTAGGGCCTGCCCGTGCAGATTCCTACTGCTGCTGAAAACTTGTTATTTACTCCTCATTCACAAAGACAACCGTGCTTTCCCAGACAACCCAGGAAAATAACTATGAACAAACCCCAGCTGCAGTGTTTCTCCATACAGCACATGTAAAACAGATTTCCTTGCTTTGTTATAGAGACTGCATAGCGTACGACAATGAAACATTTGTATTTAATTTAAAATCAATGGTAAAGTGGCGCATGTCTCACTTCTGAGTTGTTGGCTGGGCTTGCTATGTTGAACCTTGTAAAATCAGCAATAAGCATTCACATGTCCACCATCAGAACCGTGACATCTTCTATTACAATCAATCCTTAATGATGCCGTGCTTTATCAAATTAGTCTACAGTCAGACCTTGAACTGGCTGCTCTCCTCCAGTGTTGCTGATTCTCAGAGATGGTATCAGTCTCTCACAGCCTCAGCAATTCTACAATGTTTCCCAATGACGCCGGCAAAGCTCTGGTAGATGGGAATGTTGCCATCAGTAAAATAAATTGCCAGATGATTTATCCACTCACATTTCTAGGAGATATTCCACATGTTTTTTTATGAACAGAGAGAGCAGTGCCCTGTGAACAGAAGTAAATTAAAATTTCTTCTTTTGCTGTGTTGGCTAGCTGCACTTCCTCACTTGTTTATTTTTGTTCTTTTTGGTCTGCACAATCCCATGTGCAAAGTAGAAATTAGGAGATCTCGCACTCAGTAAGGCTGGTAATGAGAGCACTAATATTGGCACGAATAAAACCTGCAGTATACTGACTTGTCCACTGCACAGTTTTTATCCTTCCTATTTCCTACTTTTATCCACTGTAAAATAAAACGATGTAAAGGGCTGATGAAATTTTAATTAATAGGACCATCAATGTGCAAAACAAAAAAGTAATTTTCCAGGTGTCCAAACCAAGCTTTCTCTTCTCTCTCTCTCTTGTTCTTTTTTTTTTTTTTATAAATAATTTATAAATCTTCCTGTTAGAGACTAAATACAAAACCAACCAACCAAAACCATCTTCAAAAGAAAGTTCTAAGATATTATTAAAGCCACTTCTTGTCCTTCCGTACAAAGTACATGGTAGAGAGATATTCTCCCCTTTTCAGTTCTGGCTGGATTCAGCAGTGATGGCTGGGATGCCCTGCGGTCCGCCAGCTCCAGGCGAGCTCCTGCGGGCAGCCGCCTGGCCACCCTGGGAAGACGTGTCATCCTACCTTTTGGCTTTTAGCAGTCATGCAAGCTGCTCGGAAGAGTCTAGGTGGTCAGGAATAGGCAAGCCAGTTATAATGGTCAAACACTTATTCCACACAGTGAACGTGGGGCACACCGGCTGCCCAAATGTAATGTCAAAAGTGTAAAGGTGAAGGGAGTTCAAAGCATCGTAAAAAGCAAGGGAGCCGTTGTCATAGTCCAGCAAAATCCCAACCCGCCGGAGGTGAGGTGCGGGCTCGATGGGGATTTCTTTGCTGTTGTGCCGCACCACCCATGTGTTATTGCAGCGGCAAAGCACCCAGGAGGCAGAATTCTTCCCGATCCACTCGTGCTTTGGCGCTGACTTGTAGGAAATACCAATGGCATACCTGCAAAACAAAAAACAACTCAAGGAAACAAATGCTTCCTGCCACGTTTTTCTCTCACTGAAGTCAAATGCTAGCCCAGAGGACTCACTGGAATGCCCCAGTGAGCTCTTACTTCTGAATTCTTACTTCTGCTGGTTCTAATTAAGTGGTGTTTCACCACAATATCTGCACAGGCTTAATTAATGGTTTTCCCCATGTCTCTTTCGGGTCTGAGAGGTCAGGGAAACTTTATTGGCCCTCGTATTTTTTGTAGTTCGGCTGCTATGGTAATCTTTTGGAGCACTTGCCTCTGGTATTCAAAAGGAAGATTGTTGAGTACTCAGAAACTCAGAGTTTGAATCTAGGGGCCTCAGATTTCCACTTCCGAGCAGATGAATACAGAGGAATTCATTGATTTTAAAATACACTGCTATCTGTCAGCTAATCTGATCTCTCCTTGCCCCTTTAATATATGGCCCAGAAGAAGGAATGCAAGAGTAAACATCAAAGGACACATTAAAAAACCCATTTTTGCCATTCCCAAATATGTTTTGCCAGATGTTGGTGTGGTTTTTAGATTCAAATGAGCATTTTTGAGACTGGGTTTTGGGCCAAGTGAAGCAATTGTAGGTGTAGACATTTGCTCTGCAAACCATAATTTATGGCAAGATGTGCAGGGTAAAAAGATTGTGAAAATGTTCTTGTTAATGGACACCAAGGGCAAATAGCTGATTTCTCATATGTAATGGAAATGTAAAAGTTCCTCATGTTCTAAAGACACTGCAGTATTTGTTGGGCTCTCAACCAACAGAGATTAATGTGCCATAAGTTACTCTATTTCCATTCCTTCGCATTGGCACAGGCAAACAGCATTTTTCTTGTTTGAGACAGTGGGCATACTTGAAGATCTTACTGATTTTTCCACTCCATTAACCTCCATGATGATTGTTGCCTTTGAATCCCAAATTATGACATCTCTTCCGCTGACTAATGGGCCCCTGAAATCCACCCTTGTATGACACAGAGGATCATTCCGGAGTGGAGGAATGCACTCCTCCATTTCCTGCCCTTTGCTTCCTACCCTGGGGCACGGACTGACAGCTCTGCTGCTCCATGCCCCCTCCCCAGAAGCAAATCTGACCTCCACCCTTGTGAAACTGGAACATCAAATTGTCCTCATATTTATTTTTTTTCTTACTGAAGGATGTTAAGATCTTTAACGTGTAGTAAAGAAATTATTATACTTACGAATTTGTATAAACAAGATGAAGCTTTCTGATCTCTCCAATTCACTAAAATCTTAAAATGTATTGCATGTTGGTTCAAAAAACAATCATGGAGTAAAAGGCCTGTGAAGGCCACTAAATATAAAGGTGCTCTATACGGCAGATTTAGTTCCAGAGTCCAAAAGTGCTGGAGATTGGGAAAATAGTCTGACCAACTATGTGAAAGTATATGCTTGTCCGGCTCTGTTCCGTGCCTCTGCTACTGGTCTTTATGAGAGAAACTGTGCCAGGATCTGCACAGTGTGAACTAGTGACTCTTTTCACATATATTTTTATATACATACCACGTGCTCCCGCTTATAACCACTTCCCAGTAATGCCGCCCGCTGTCAATGAACACGTTGCCAGCTACTCCGTAGCTCCCCTGGCTAGTGAATCGCTCTGGCGTGTGACTCTTTTTGGAGGATGTTTCATCACGTTCCACTGTCAAGTTATCATGAGACACTTTCAATTTTCTATGAGCAGATTTGGGGTCCAGTTTAAATGGCTGACCTAGAGAGGCAGAGACAAAGATGGCAGAAGAATGGTTTGGCTTTGATTTTGAAAAGGAGAGTGGATTAGCCTGCCTCTGAGAAGCCCACAGGACGATATAACCATATTAATCTCCTCCTCTGAAGCATTCTCGAGACAGACTAACCTATTCTGCTCCCTGCAATAGCTAGTTTGCATTGACAGTTTACTGTCAGTCTCATTGCGCACTAACTTCCCTGTGTCAATAATCCCTGAAAAGAGCCCTGCATAATCATCACGCCCATTATCTCTGACCTAGAGGTAACCTGAATACTCTAATTCTTGCATGTAATTGAAACCAATATACATGCTAATAAAGGTCTGAGGGTTGCTTTTTTCACAGCGTATTAGATTTAGAATAAGTTATGTTCCATCAATTCTCTAGGGATAAAGCTCCATAAATAACATCTTCATCGTTACTACAAAAAAAGTATGATTTCAAATACCACAAAATGAGTTTGAAAATAAGAAGAAGCACTAGCCTTGTCTATTTGTTCACTCACAGCTTTATTTATAACAAGCACAGTCAACAATCCAGGATTGCTTTGGAAGGATGCCCATGTGGTGCTGGATACTGTGCATTAGAAAGAAGGAAGTGAACTGTAACTTGGTCCAAATAATATGGTGTAAAAACATTACTGAGGCTGTTGCTCTTGGCAAGTATCTTCGGCTGTAGCACAAGGTTTGTAGACAATAACAGGAAGCTTTTTGGTAAACCGAACCCTGTAGATATATAAAGCCTGCCACAATTCTGACAGGCTTGCTCATTGTGTCAAAAAGCAGAACGATCATTTACCTCCACCAGGAGACAAGTAGGAAACTATGACTCCATGAGTGGTCCAGCAAAGCCCTTTTCCCTTCTGACCATCTTTCATATCAAGGGGAAAAAAAAGTAAGTGGAAGATTTGATGACATGGGCAGAAAACAGAAATGAGCGCTCTCAGGAGGTCTGTGTCAGGCACTGACACGTGTACTTCAAATAAGATGTAAATTGCTCAGAGTTTATGAAGGAACAGTTAAGCATTTCTCATGCAATAAACCTGAAAACATTAAGGGGGGGTGGGTAAGAAGAAATTAAGTTCATCTGAACAGTGACAGTCAATGTGTGTTGGTTCAGATCTCTAGACAATCTGAAAATGCAGACATATGAAATGGGAGATGATTGAGGCAACACTAATTCTCAATTAACATGATTAGAGATGAGTCAGGAATTAGGTAAGGACTACTTTCAGCCTTACAGTTATCATCCACTTTCATAATGTGTAGTTATGTATTATCATCAAGTATAAAATGAACCCATTGGAAAGTATCTGGGGCAGATTTTACCTGCTTTTTGTTACTGCTCGGTAGCAGTGAAACACCTACAACCTGCCTCTCTAGCTGGTTAGTAGCCTTCGTGCTGCTGAGCAGTATCTGAAGGATGTCTTTCTCCGTACTGAAGTTTATGTGGTCACATCATTTCTCGCAGTCACCTGAGAGATTGCTTTTGTGCCACACTGGGTGACAAAGATTAAAAAGGATAAAAGATTGCCATTTCCAAATGGGTCCTCCGGTTATGCATTTGCTTGTAGGCTACCAGGTTTAACAATAAGCAGATTCTTAGTAGCAGATGTGGGGTTTGTATGAGCAGCTTTTACACAGAAATGCAGGCTGGGTTAATAGCAGAAAGGGGAAAATGAGAAACATGTACATGCCATTCCCTGCAGCCTCCTTCTTGCAACATTCGGTATCGTCCCTCTTTGAGCACCTTCCCCTACAACAGGCAGGTTTCAGAGGGTGCACAAATCCCAGTGTTCCCTTTCCAGTGCTCAGAGCTGCCTGTGATGACTACGTGACTGAGGGATTGGCTGGGACGCAAGAAGAAAAAGGCTGAAAAACAGTTTTAAACTTGCTGTACTACATCTGCTAATAATTTGTGTAACCATTGTTGTTTTGAAGTGGGATCTCTGACTACTCTACCACCTTGTTGAACTCCATAAAAAAACTGTGGGGGATGGAACTAAGAAAGTTTTCTAGTGTCCTAAGACAGAGATCATTTTGGAGGATAAAATTAAACTAGCAATTATCTTGTGAACATTATACAAAAATAAAATGTTTTATTGCAAACATAAGAAAAGTTTTTGCTTTGTAGAGGAAAAAGAATAGAGAGGACATTAAAACAAAACCACAAAAGAGTATTTTCAGTCATTTCACATGTGATGGCTCTGTTCCTAAACGATATTTCCAGTGACCAAACTACAGATGCATCTCTCTCAAAAAAAGTAATTTCTGCCCTACTGAAGACTCTGGCAGTCTTGAATCCAGTTAAATAAGTGGCTTTAATCATGGGAAGCACTTTAAACAAGTTAAGCTGCTCTGAGCTCTTGTATCTTCCAAAGATGAAGCCTAAAAAGGAAGGCAAGAAAGGAGAACGCGTGCGTGCTGGATCTCTCGTTACTCACTGTTTGTCTTGAGCTTGCCAGGCTCGCTGCTTCTGCTGCCCGCCTGATTAATGGCCTTAACAATGAAGATGTACTTAGTGCCACTCTGTAACCCGTGCACGGTGTAGTGGTTTTGTTTGATATTGGGAACAATCATCCAGCTGTCGGCTGAGTTGCATAAACCTGCAGGTTCAAACAGAGCACATTAGTCATAACATACTAAACACTTTGCAGGAGAGGAACCTTTAGAGCACTCCTGAGCACCCAATGACTGATATGAATTTTGCTTCTGTACTTTTAAAGTGCTGTTGCATTTACCAAGTCGCTACTTAATTCCACTAACTCATTTCGTCAGCCCTCAGCAAAGGTACCTTTTAAGTTCTTGCTACATGAAGTCAACCATAAAAAAATAGACACTTAAGAAATGACTCAGTGGAGACATGAGCAGTCTGAGATTTTTCATATCCCAGCACAAGGAATTCTTTATTGCTTCAGAACTAGAGGATTATGGAGACCCCATCAATCTACTGTTTGGATTAATGAACTCAGTTTAAGCACTAGAAAACTAACGTAAGCAGTAAAACTGGGAGGGCTGGGGAGGCACCTTTGCTGACAGTCCCCAGGTATGCATTCTTCAGGACCTGAAGCAAATCATGGGAGGCCAAACAGAGTAGAGCGTGGGCTCCAGAGCAAGCTTTGGCTTTTACGCTCCAGACTTTGCCAGGATGTAATCTAACCCAGTAAATTTAATGGATGCAATTTTTTGATTTACGTCCTCATGGTTAAGATGGCAGCTGGGGAAGAGCTGGATAATTTTCCAGTTACAAATGTTTTGGGGTATGCTTGATGCCTACCACAGAAGTATAATTTGTAGGAAGTAAAAGAAGGGAGGAGAAATACCATCTGCAAAACAGGAAAATACTCCATTGAGATGAACTTATTCATCTACATAAATTTTTCCTACTGTGGTATAACTGCAATGGCAATCACCCATATTACTTACTGTACATTTTGAACAGCTCCTGGTCTAATGGATCCCCAGTCTGATAGCTCTCTTATTATAAACGTTTACATAAATAACAAATTTAACATTCATGGAGTGTATATATGTTCACAACCTTTCATATAGCTATACAGCTAGAAAAAGACATATGCAGATGGAAGTGTATGCATACATGTGCATATGTGAGACTGGAAAACTTAAAAAGTGTTTGACTGGATTAGGAACCTGACAGGCTTCTTGGTCTCTGCCTCTACTGGGCATAGAACATGTTATTGAAAGCTACTGTGTTATTAAAAAACAGCTTTCAGTTTTTAACATGTTTTACCAGCAAACCAGTAAGCATTAGTGAAGAGGATCTTTTAGTAGTCAGTAGTAATTTCAGCTCTGTATATTAGGCAATACAAAACCTTTATGTAAAGTAAAAATTAAAAGGCTACTGGATGCAATACTTGAAAAAAAGACCTGTGATAAAGGTTTACAGACTCATAGACAATTCATAACCATACTGTGAGATTCCTTCTTAATTTGGGATGCACTTTTCATAATAAAAGATCATTAGAAACAGAACTCATACCCCAAATTTAGACCTAAGTGTTATGTAGCTTTTGTCTCAAAGTTCTCTTATATTATGTAGCACCCTTGAGAGGGAGGTAGCTACCCATCCTGCTGTGCAAAGGTGTAACTGAGGCACAGTTTCAGGTGGGACTTATGTCACCTTGTCATCTAATGAAGAACTGCAAAGCCTAACATATTTTTCTGGACTCTGAGGAGAGGCAGAAATCGGTGAGTAGTTTCTATCACTTCTCCAGGTATGAACATCCTACCACAGGTGACTCTCCTTTCTTGGCCACAGAGGAAGCCTAGGTGACTAGCATAGGTGAAATGAGGCGAGATGAACCCTCCTGTCACCCTGATTGGAAGTCTGGAAATCTAAGCCTGTGGCTGAACTCACATGTGGGTTGTTGTCTTTGGACCATGATTTACTAGAATGAGAATACTTCTTTGTTGCAGTTCCTTGGTGTAAAGTGGGAAAAAAATAATTCTAGGATGTTCCTTATGCTCCAACCGCTGAGCATCCTGACCACATGTAGCCTCCCTAAATATCAACTACAAGGGATTCAAACAGTTTGTTGTATGTGGATAGAAGCAGCGAAGAAAAGCAACCTTGCAGAACTGTTTTTCTCGAGACTATTGAAAAACTAGATGGTATAAAGCAATCATCTGTCTACCTCCTGAAAAAAAAGAAGCCAGTGTTACAGCCCATGAGAACCCCAGTTGTTCCTAGCACATGTAGTAAACCGCTTATAGCAACATCAGTCCACATCTTGTTTCACTGAACCATACCCACTGAATGATATTTATTTTTTTAGGCTGGGTGTGAATGGGTTTTCTAAGAGGAAGAAAGGAAATAAAAGCAGCAGTTTCCTGGCATAAAGTATTTCACTGACTGCTCAGAGGAATCCTCATCTTTTCCCCATAAAAATTTACCACAGGTATTAGAGTGAAGGCACAATTGTTCTGTAGCCAAACTACCACATTAATTTTGCATTGAGACCATCACTTACCCGGCTCATAGGTGTTATTGCAAAATAAGTGTTAAGGTAAAATAAACCAAAATGAAGCACTGGATTGAAGGGGAGCCCAGGATGACCAAGGAATCCCTAACTCAGACGCCTCTGGGGTTATCAAATAACTTATGACAGTAGAATCATTTAGGTTGGAAAAGACCTTTAAGTCCTTAAGTAAGTGGGATGAATCCAGGCAGGAGTCCTGGAAGTGTTTTCTCTTTCCACAACCACACTTCAAACCCAAAGGTCTATGGTGTACATAGGCCACATATAAACAAACCCTTATGCAGACACAGAAGTACCCAGATTTTTGACATAATCTCAAAACTAGATTTGTATCAGTCACTGCAACTCTCTAAAGGGCACATTTTTCAGGCTTGCATTACACTTCTTACATTACGCTCCAGAGGCTGATTGCTTCTTACAAAGCATAGAACTTGGATCTAATATATGAAGGACTATAAGGCATAGATGCATTGCTATGAGTCTCCCCCTCCAATCTATCCTCTCCTTCTGTGTATGTGGATTTATACATACCCAATACTCACTAGTCTGTAAATACTCACACAGGGTTATTAAATAATCTAGTCAATGCTTAATTTAGATGTCTGTGTACAGAAGGCAGAGCCACGGTAATTTTAGGTATTGCTACATCTTGGCTTCTGCTTTTGGGGTTAATGGCAAAATGTTCACAGATAGGTATAGATTCATCCCACCTGACCTTGAACACAGAGCAGAGTTCTTGAGTTAGGACCTTACCTACCTTAAACTCTGCACAGTCAATAGAGAGAGTTGGGAACCCTCCGTTTGACTTGACATGTTCTAGGGGAAGAGTCTATCCTCTTTGATGACACAAGACACCTTGGGTTTCTTTTCTCTGTCCTTCCAGTCTTAGGCATCCCAGACTACTGGTGTACAGTAACTATTGGATGTGCAGCAACTGATTTGGTTACTTTGCTTGGCAAACCTGGCTGTCCCACCAAGCTCGGCTCTTGCCTATGCACCAAGGGGCTCAGTGATGTGTGCATGTGCTTCCTGACTGGGAGCTATTTCATAACAGGCTTTAAACTGAACTTTGATTCAAAAATCTTGGGAATGAGGCTTTGATGGCGCCAAACTGCAAGTCCAAAATTCTGCAAAACAGAGAATTTTAACTAGTCGTGGCCAAGTTAAGCTTTTAAGTATGAAAGAATATTTTGTCACTGTATCAAAACAATTTGCCTCCGGTTATGCCCTGTCAGGACAACCTTTCTTCTCTGAATACAGAAAGAGATGATTAAGAAAGTTCAGGGAAATGAGCAAGCGGCCTGGTAACATGGGCATCTGGGGGTAGCATTTGCCCTCTCAGCTCCCTGCCAGTGGCAGCAGGTTAAGTGGAAAAGCACACAGCTTCTCCTCACTGGCGCAGCAGCAGGAGCTAAGGGTCTCCTATTGTACCCACTCCTAGCCCAGGCGACATTCAGGTCTCTTGTTTCAAAAACCCAGGGCTTTTTACAGGGTAATGCAGGTGCTAAAACAATGTATTTTAAAACTGTAGCCTACAAAAAATGTAGAGAATTTAAATTACATCCTGGAATGGTGCAGTGAGCACAGCGATGTCCATACAGGATGTGTGAGTTTTCAAAACAAGTTTCTCAGAATCTGGAGGTAATAATTTGTAAAGCTATTTCCCTGGTGTTGGCGGTTGATGCACTTTAAAAAACAGATGGGAAAAATTAGAAGGTGCAAATCTTCCTAAAATTTACAGTGGTAGATTTTAATAAAATGTATCTTCTTGAAAACTGGAAGAGGAGCACAAAAGTCATGGGAAGGTTATTTAATCTCCTGAGTATTTTAATTATTTTAAAATGCTTTACTGAAATAAATGGTTACCAATTCAGATTGGTAGAACAAATACAGTAGGTGAAGGTAACAGACAGCTTCCCACTTCCACGCTGCATTCCCACATGAGAGAAAATGTTATATGCAGGATTTCTGCAAAACATACAGCATTAGTTTTAAGAAACACACTCTCTTTATACTCTTCAAGAGGTAGAAGTTTTCTTTGTTTTACCCCAACTTGCTTTTTTGCCATTAAACGATACTCACTTAAATCCTCAGTAGCAATCTGAAGATTGTAAGGAATCTGTTTTTAATAAATGAAAACTTCCAGAAACAGACAAAAGCTAGAATATTCAAAAAATAATTGGCGAGTCATAAACTCACTGTTTTTCATGGAAGCTTGGGCTCCTAATTGTCTTAGATCCTTCAACAAAATTTCATCCTATCTTATAAGAGGAGTAACCCTGTAAAACTGGGAAGGTTCTGACAGAACACTATATCCTTAATACAGTGAATTTTAGTATTTAGCCACTGAAACTAACTAACCTAAATTCCATTAACCAGGAAAGAGAGGCTTATTTACTGCTTTTTGTCTTGAAGAGAGAGATGCGTTTTTCATGAAGACATCTTGTATTTCAGCTAGTAAAAAGCTAGGTATTTAAATTGTAACCTTCCTGAAGCACACTAAAGCAATTCTCTGATGTTACAAAAATGCATACTCAATAAATACTTGAAAATTTATTGAAATGGGATAATGAAATTATAATGCATGTTAGCTAGCTAGTGACAAAGTAATTTTAAAAGCCTTGATAATATTCAGATTGCAGGTGATTAGCTGCCTCTCAGAAATGCAAATGTGCAAATGGTATAACTCTGAGAACAACCGCTTTAGTAAAAGCCTGCTTAATTTAAAGTTCTGTATTGCTCTTATGCATGGAACAGGGCTGCCAAGCATTTAATAGCCAAGCAGTTTAGCCACATTTGGAAATAATCTTTCCTGTATGAAATAGGATTCAAAATGAAATACTCTATTTGGCCCTTTTCCATCAAATGTTAACTCTCCAATTTTTCAGTTAATAAAAAAGAATATGGTTGATTATGTTGGATAGAAAATACACTAGAAAAACATAGCATTGCTTGTTTTTGTTACTGAATTCTTAGCAATCTCTGAATGATATATGCCTCTGGTGGGGGAAACGTACTGAGGAGTGGAAAGTGCCGTCAGTCTGGCTATGTGGTTTTAAGAAACAGATTCCAAAATAACAGCCTCCATTAGCACGGGTGGCAGGTATGTATGCAAAGTGATTCTTATTGTCTCAAGGGAAAAAAGCTTGTTGGTTTAATGCAGTACTCTAGCTACTCCCTCATGACTAATTCATAGCTACACAAACACAGAACTGAAGACAATCTATGAACCTGGGTATGTTATCGTCTATGGGCAACATGCTATACCAATGGAAACTTTCTGGGATGTGACAGAGGAATTAAAAAAATATGTTCAACAGCATGCAAATGCCATAAAGAAAAAGAAATTTGTGCTAATTCAAAATTTATTCCATTAAAACAGGATTTTTAAAAAAAGAAAAAAAATCACCTAGCTTCATTTCATCAAACCTGAAGGCTGCAGTGCAGTGCCTGCTAACATCACTTGCACTGAAAATAGCTCTGTGTTCAACCACACCACTAAGGTACACTCCGGTATTGGAGGGGCAATCTTGGAAAGTAATTTATAAAAGCTGAGATATTACACCCAGGACAAAGAATATAATCCACCAAAGTGAAGAAACATACAAGCAGTCTACTGAGTAAAATCAGGACGTTAGTAGGCAAATCTCCAGTACCAGTGGAAGGTGGAATGAAATGTAAGAGTCCCATGTGTTGGAAACCTGGTCAGATCTGTAGCAGTTAGATTTGGTGGGAACATCTCCATTGGAGGTGTTCAAGTCTACATTAAATAATGAAATTAAAAAAAACCCTTTACAATATTTAGAAACCCTCCATATATACTTATATATTCATGTATTTAATTTGGGTTAACATTATAGCCTTCAATTAAATTGAAACTAACAGTCAGGATTTTTATATAAGAGCTAGCTGCATTAAAAAAAAAAAAAAAAAAAAAAGAAAAAGGGCCAGTCCTTTCATTTCTTTCTTACTGTCATTTAAGGTCTCCAGAGCATTTTATAAACAAAATTACTGACAGTGTTAACTTCTTTTCTCTTCAAACTTTTAATGACACCACTTTTGCAAAGTGATAAAATGAAAGCTCAGACTGCACACTGAGGACTTCATGCTATACCCCAAAATTATCATATTGCATGCCTGAAAGTTTACTAATTGATACACATTTTGCAGATCAAAGCTTTCACTCCACATGGGAAACCTACAAAACCTACAGCCTAAAAATGAAATAAGTTTTTATTTATTCACTAGTAAGCAAAAAGTAAAACCCCACATCACAATGGTGTGGAAATGACACACCTTTCTGCTGCCATGTTCACACGTAATGCCAATAACTGACTTGCATAAGGTCTTCTAGCACAAAGCCCTAGATAAAAATGGGTTAGGAAACAAGCAACGTACTGTGTTACCATTAAGTCTTGTCTGCTTAGCAGTGATGAATCAAGGAAGCTTTTACTTCTTTATCTACCTTGCTCCAATGTGTTCCAAAATGCTATTAGACCTTTTTGTTATCCAGCTTGCCCAGCTGTAGGAGCATGTGTTAAAGTTTACTCGGTCTTTCCAGCAGTCTTAGAGTTTAGAGTGTGTTGTCCAAAATTAGGCTGTTTCGTGAAATACTAAATGGATATTTTGGCAAAACACTCATAATTTTTTCAATAGTCCACCTTATTTTTAGTCAATCCTGAATACCATAGTATATTCGAAGTATGCTACTTAAAAATGGTGTTAAAATGCCAGCACACGAATCCTCAGAAATCCTTTCAGATGCCTTGAAAAATTAACTCCAGTTTAGTCATGGAGAAAATGAGGTTCAGGCAGCAACAGCAGAGTCAGTGCAAGAGTTTGGTTCAGTCCTGAAACCTGGCACAGTCCATATCATTTTTCCACTGACATAAAGCATGTAAACATGTCCACAACATTGACTTTCATCAAAGTATCTCAACAAATTTTCTAAGAAAACCGTTCTTGCGCTGGGTCAGAGCTAAGCCTATCTGGCTCAGTGCATGGCCGGGGTATCTGATGGTGGACAAAAGCAATAGCATAGGAAGGTGTTAAGGAACAGGGAAGCACACAGTGATCATTTCTCGCAGTGTTCTCCCAGGTCTCAACAGCTTCCAGCTCTGGGACTTCCTGAGCCAGGAGAAAGTCTCTGCACTTAATTATTCTCAGTAGGTTTTTCTTGCATGATCTGTCCAGTCATCTCTTGAACTCAAAAACACAACAACCCTCTGTGGCAATGAGTTCGCAACTTAAATACATGTTGACTGAAGAAACTCCACCTTTTGATGGATTTGGTTCATTTCAGAATCCTTGTTTCATAAAGCAAGTATATGTCAGCTAGTGGTATTCCCATTAAACATACGGGGAACAGGAAGAAGTTAAATGACTTCTCCAAGTTCATAGTAAATGATCACAATGCACTGAACCCAGAAATGTTGATTTCCTGGTCAAAGATTAGACAATACTGTTTTCTCAGAGGAATAGTTCTTTAACAACAAAACAATCAAAGGAATAATCAGTAGGTCTGTTCATTAAGGAGAGTCACAGATTCAAAATGGAGAGTGTATTTAATAAAAAATGTGCTACAATACAAAATATAAAGCAATGATTGTTAATGTCATTACAAGTTGAACAAAGTTACCATATTAATTGTTGTTCCACTGATGTTTGCTGCCTTAGCCTTCAGCACACTGAGAACTATGCTTTGTAGCCTTGCAGACAGTAAAAATCAGAGGGAAGGATTTGATCTGTATTTCTGACAAAGGTCCAGTTGTCAAGGGTATCTAAATGACAATGGGGCTGCAGTTCTAACTAATGACCAGTTTGACACAGGCTCCCAAGTGCCTGACTAGCCCAGACAATGAAACAGGGGTCTTTGTCCCTGCTACATCTGCAACAATGGACCTAGGAGCAAGAGACAAGTCTTGTTAAATTGGACAGCACTTGTGCCTTTGGGAATATGTGCTGGTTTTAGTCTTCAAAAGCTCCCACTGTGTGGCACTCCCAGAAAAGACACAAGAAATTTTAACTGAACTATTTCTGAATTTTAAACCCTTTTGAAATCATTGTTGGTTTGTATTTAAAATTTTGGCTTTAAAACTTCCTAGAAAATATTTTTTCCTACATTTATATTTAAAGGCACCTGGTTTACAGAGAAACCATAAGGAAACAGAAGTAGAGAAGAGAAGGTCTATACTTACTAACAACATTAGCTTGCCCAGTGAAGATGGTGTACTGCAGCTCGTACGACACCACACTGAACTCATCATCCGACGTCCAGTGGACAGTAATGGTATCATAAGAAGCTGTGCAGAGCTCTTCTCGAATGGTGGGTGGGTTGGGAGCTGCGAGATACAACAGAGGAGGCTTACTGACACAATCAGTAAAATATTTCCCTTCTCACCTGAGATTAGGGGATGCATCTACTGTATGAGTTTGTAGCTATACCACCCAACAGACTTCCCAATAACTTTTTTGCTAATTCCAGTAGTAAATTTGATTATCAATAAATTGTTGCAAAGGTATTCTTACTATCAGTGTAACCACCTAGGAACTCCAGATTTTGAAAATATTTTTATTAAAGTAGCTTTAGTTTCAGATGCCCCAGCACAGGTGATGTGTTGGTGGTCACATTAAAATTGACATGTTACTTTTTCTAGGATTGTTTCTGACCATCACACCAAAATTATCAAAGTTTCATTAATGCACGTATCTAGAGGGAGAGTCAACACCCTTCACTGTTGACTTGAAAGCAGTGTTTGCCTTGCCTATCTTACCAGAGATTGGCATAAGTGGTATTTAAAAAATATAATTTTGGGGAAGCCTCCAAACACTCATGCCTTCATGCTCAATCTTCTCCTCTTTCCAAGTGAATTTTTATCTATTTCCTAGCTATCCTTTCTAATATAGATGCTTATAATTTCTGTTGGCTATACAACTCACTTTTTTCAGCTTACGTAAAGAGTCCTTTTCATGAAATCATGATTGTATGACCATTACAACCTAATCTTCAATGCCATTGCTAATTAAATAACTCTAGAAAACAATCCAAACACTTTAATAAAAAGTTGTCCCTCTGTTTCTTTTTTTTTAATCAACAAGCAAGATCTCTCTGTAGCAAGCTACACGTTCTTCTCCCATATTTACACACAGGATTGTTTTAAAGACCTATTTAAAGAAGTGAAACTTGAAGCAAATGTCTTAGGTCTAGATTTCCCTTGTTTGCATTATTTACAAAGCCAAAAACCTAAGTAAGAAACAAATTAGTCTTTCTTTAAAAGACTGGCGGGCCTTCTTGCATGCTTGTCTCGGTGGGAGCTTCATTCCTAATCATCTTCCCTACATGCTACCATCATGCAAAAAAAAAAAAAAATCCTTGTGCTTAATAGTGTTCCTCCCAGCTGTCACCGAGTGAGGAAGGAGGGCACTCAAGCCGAAACAACCACAATATGCCTGTATTAAAGGAAAAGGAAGGCAACTCTGAGTAGTATTTTTCCTGTCAGCTCTTTAACTTCTATTAGCCACAAATAATGGCCTCAAAAAAAGTCCCTCTGAAGGAATTCCACTTTTACTTTTGCAACATCTTATTTTTATGAAACATCTATTTTACTTTCCATTAAGAATCTTTATAGTTCATGTCCCCAGTTTACTGATGTATGTTCCCAAGGATTAAAGTGCAGATGCATTTCCAAGCAGCCTCTTTCAACCAAGGGGCATAAGGAAACATTCAGATGTGTTTCATGATATAACCATGATTTGCGATCCTCTAGATATTGTAGCACAGAAGCTTACCAATGCCTTTTGTTTTTCCCTCAGCAGAAGAACCCTTGGGACAGATGGATATTAATAGAGAGAGAAATGAACTAAAATAAGAACAGTCATCCAGGAGGGGAATAGAAGCAAAAGGAGGAAAAAAACCCTTACAATCTTCTGGAAAGATTAGTGCTGCAGTTTAGAGGTTGTGTACTAACTGAGGCCAACTAACTGTTGTGAAAGCTATGCAGTACTGCATTGATCCTATTAGCTATGTTTCAAAAATGTATCCAGCATAAAAATCTACGGGAGCTTTTTTTTGGTCCTAGCTGCAGTTTCATTTTCATATTTTGTCTTTCCTTCAAAGGCAGAAAAAAAAAATGAAAAAAATTAATTACAAATATACAAGGGGATCCATTTTGCTACTATTCAGCTAAAGTCTTCTTCAGTCTTTTGCATGTGACAGAGCAAAACCTTTTACTTGAGAAATGTACCTGTTATTATTACAACACAGATATTAAAGCAACAATTACTGAAGGTTTAATGAACTGTAAACTGCATTTCAATAGTACCTAAGTGTCTTCAACTCCTTTGAAAATGTCAGCCTAAGTTCCCTCTTCATATGCACACCTGGCTGGCCTTATGGTCTTCACGTAATGAGAATGACAGAAGAAAGAGATTTGATCTAAGCAGAACATCTTTTCCCGTGATTAACCCACACCCACAAATTCATCGTTCCACCGCCAATACTCCTTTGGAGAGTGTAAGTCTGTAATGCAATTAAAGAGATTGACCTTAATCAGTTATCTCCATTATTACATTTGATAGCATGTGATTTGCTTATCGCATTTACTAGTACTGCTACAGAGCTCAGGTGTCACAGGGAAAGCTCCACAGAGACGCCAGAGCAATCTCAAGACTGCACCAGCACCTTCCCCGACGTGGCCTTGACTCAGGTGAGCTCCACCACTGCTCAGGAAGAAGAAGCCTAGCGTGTGGAAGGCATAAAGCCTCATATCCACCCTTTGGTCCTGTTTCCCAGTGGAGAGGCCTTCCAGTCCATTTCAGGGTAAGGATGGAGAACTGACATGCCACAGTAACAAGGCTGAAGTTTGACAGTTGATGCTGTTAACACCCTCAGCTATTGGAGCCTCCTGTCTACAAACAATGTCCCTCTCTCTACCCAGCTTCAGGGAAAGCTGAAAAAAATTTAAAGCAGCTCCTGAAAACCCCAAATTTACAGCCTTGAGCAGTGAGGGAACCTGGAATCAGTGCCAGCAGACTTAGCAAGGCGCAATGAAAGCTGCAGTGGTTTAAGGAATTGCTTCCTAACATCTGTAGCTCTCCTTGGTCATGGGGTGGGCACTCTCCATAGAGCACCAGGGCAAACATCTGGGAGTGGTAACTGCTTCAGTCACATTGACTTTCATCCATCTGTATTCATGAATCAACACTCTCTGACGAGTGAAAATCATTGCTGAAGGCTGTTTTAGTTCATTTTTGTTACTTTGACTCAAAACTGAGCCGGTACACTTAAGGTAATAACTAATATTAGAAAAGCAGTTTCTTAAATTTGCTCCCAGAATTAACTGACCTTGTGAGTATACCTACTCCGTTTCAAGTGGGTTAGTCTAACCCACCTTCCATTCAATGTCATCTGCATAGCTTTTGCTCTGAAGCAGACTGAAAGCACTCATATGGTCCATACACCTGAGAGGTGGTGTAAGGAAACTTCCACCTCTCATTGGTGAATCCCAGCATGAATGCAGTGGTTCCTGGGAAACTATTGAGACTATTTCTATGTTCTTTCAGCTCAAGGTCACAGCAATTGACTAAAACCACCTCAACTTCCTTTTGTTTGCTCAGTCTCCACCTCCCTGCTCGCATGGGGTGATTGACTTTGTAAGGGTTCCTTCCTGCTTTTGATAATGAGTCAAAACCAAAGATCTAAGAATGAGACTGAGATGGCTGGAGGTGGTTTTTGATCTTTTAATACTGAAAGAGTTAAAAGGAAAGACAGGTTGTGAAGGGTTTCCAGAATGAAGTCGTTTTCATGTGAAAAAAACTGCTGGTGTATGCTAGGCAATGCATATTTCTTAGTACAGTCATAGCTAAAGTGATGGATGAAGAAGATGTATCATTGTTTCAGACGGGATTTCTGAAGCAGGGCAAATTCCAAGGTCAAAGAATAGATGTTCCTGCAATTGATTTCAAAGTATTAAGACACAGAACAAGTATTTTTGATTCACAATGGATAAAAAAAATTCCTTATGTTAGCGATATAGAGCAGAGAGTTTGCAAGTCATATGTATTGCCTGGATCTAGCTAGATACGTGTTTAGAGAAAGATGAGTTCCAGATGAAGAGCCTGAGCAACTGGCAAGATAAGAAAGCTTTCAAAAGATGGCAAGGTTATATATAGAGAATATAGAACAGTCAGAGGAAGATTAAGGGTATTGTTTTACTATACTGAGCTTGACATCTCAATGTCTGGCTGGCAACTTTCAGAGAGATATCAGAGATTTTCATTTGGATAGCAGACGCTTTGGTCAGACAGCTGTGTAAGTGATAAGCACAAACTAGTTGAATTTATATGCAGGAAAGAAATAGCCTAGGAAGAAAGATAGATGCGAACTTCAATGTGCTACATAGAAAGCCAGGGTTGGGGAGATAGAGGATGAAGAAGATCTGACAAATAGTACACTGGGAAGAACCAAAGGAGAAGAAAATCTCCTGAAGACAACTAAGGCCAATTGCTCTGAAGGTGGCTGACAGCAGACAGAATGAAGCTTTGACATAGATGATCAACATAATATAGGCTGCTTCACTTGATTCACAACACAGATGTACCACTAGGACTTACAAATGGTCTTTATTTTCCTTAGCTGTGAAACATGATAAAAGTAAAGCCCAATTCACTCTGTCACACAGTTTTCAGTTTAAGAACTATGAAGATTCCATTCATCAATCTGAAAGGGATAAAATAAAATAAATCTTCCTCTAGAGTTTCTGAACAACAATAGAGAACAATCAACTGCATTTGACTCTTGGGACTATGCATATAGACATATACATTACATATATGCATATATTTACATAAATGCATTTTAACTGTCTGCATAGGTTGTATTTTATGCTCAGATAATTTGGACATGTGTTTTGGATTTTGCCATTGCAACCATATGCTATTTATTAATGTGAAGAAAAACAGTACAAAGTCAGAGCTAGCTAAAACTGTTCTTCACTGGGCATTGAGGGCAAGGATAAAAATGGTAGATTAGGAAAAACCAGCTAAACTGCTTGATACATTCACCAGTTCCCTTAGACTGCATTGTAAGCAATTTTCCAAGACTGTGGATGAGGTAGAAAGAAGGTAGAGAAGGAGCTGTATAAATGGCACAGCCAGCATGATAGACTGCAGGAAAGGATCTCTGTGGCATTGCACCCCGTGGCACAACTACCCTTCATTTTGGTACAGATACAACCTTCATTTTCTGCAGTGCGCAGCAATGAGACTGGTAACATTGACATGGGATGTGGAAAGGGGAGAAGAGCTGGGAGGTGTGGGAACAGACTGGTAGGTGGGGTTCACCTCTTATAACTTGAAAGATGTAAAACACAGTTATCTGTATTTTATTTGAATGAATCTCTCTAGACTCTGTTTGAAGCCAACTGGGACAAATAGGCAACTCCAGAATGGAGTCAACTGACTGATACGCATACCTTAAAGTGAAGTGGTTATTCCTCTTATTCCACTATAAAGGAAGCTGAGATCGATTATTTTACAGATAGATTCCTAGGTTAGGGCAAATGGGCCTGGCTTTTTCTTAATCCTTCCTTTCATTTCCTTGGCTTTTTATAATTTTTTGGTGAATACTCGCCATGGTGGCAAAATTCTATCAGACACAGGGGAGAGGCAAACCCCATAAGATTTCACTGGTGCGGTATAAAAAGTTCAAGTGACTCTCACCACATTATTATTATGCATCATTTTCTCAAGTATGTGTTAAACATCGATTGTATTCACCAGTTACACAGTCACACAGAAATTTCTTGCAGATAAAATCTCTCGTTCAGCTATGGCAAGAACCCCACAGCTCTGTAATGCATGGGTGGTGCTACCCTGTGCATGCAGCCAGCTCTTCCCAGTATTAATCTGTTCGTTTACTCCCCTGCAGAAAAGCCAGAAACCAGCCCTCTGGATGGAAAAGATCCAGTGGCTGGCAATAGGGAGACTCCACGCCCTCACATTCTTCTGAAATAACACGGGTATATATCCTGCAAACCAGGCAACGATAGTGGGCCCAGGAAGCGTTTTCAAGTGCTTTTCTAATGGTGCTTTGTGACTTTCATTGCAAATTCTCTCTGTTAACAGCAGATGCTTAAAGACCCTGCAAAATGAAAACCTACTCCCTGTCTCTTCTGTTTTCAATTGAACTGGAATGAATTGTTCTAATTCTGGCATTGAAATCAAAACACCCTAAATTACAGTAATTTGTTTCTCTTTGTGAGTCATTATATACTCTGAGATTGCACATTACTCAGGCCTTCAGTAAGGGTCTAATCCTGCGGGCTTCTTCAGGCCAAAGCTCTCAGTTAAGTGAGCTGGGGATCTGCTCTGCGGAGAACCCGTCCCACACCCCGGTGCAGAGCACACTGCATGCTCTCTAGTCCCAGACAGAGTGAGGGCCTCCAGTTCTGTGATGGGGGAAAGGCCCAGTGCCACTGGCATGAGAAAACATCTTTTGTTGCTGAGCTCTTGATGCTGATTGCTCAAACATCTTCTTGTTGCTCATGGGAAATCTGCCAGGTTGCAATCTGCCGAAGCGAGGAGACAGCCCCAAGGAAGAGGGTAACTCATGGAGCATCTGTCCTCCGGGAAATGGGATTTGGTCCCTGCGCTCCCTCCTCTGGCTGCTCCAGGCTGAGCTCCAGCTGGTCTTTCATTTCTCTCTGCTTTTAACCATTTCTCACTCCCCCTTTCCCTCACCCTGGTGGGGAGGAATGCAAGGAGAGGAGGCAGCAAATGCATTCCAGTTGTCTTCTGCAGCACTTAAGCCTTCCTGGGGTATTCTGGGGTTGCTGGGGATAATATATTCAGGATTAAGAGGGAGAGTGTATTGGGTTTATGTGGCAAGGTTTTGGTAGCAGTTGGGTTGCAGGGGTGAATTCTTTGAGAAAAGGCCAGGAGCTGACCCCATGTTGGACACAGCCAGTTTTAGGGCAGACCCGCTGCTGCCCAAAGTTGAGCACATCACTGATGCTGGTAGTGCTTCTGTGATAACATATTTTAGAAGTGGAAAAAAGGCTGAGTGGCAGCTGGGAGAGAGAGGAGTGGGAAAATGTGAGAGGAGCAGCCCTGCAGACCCCTAGGTTGGTGCAGCAGGAGGGGGCGGAGGTCCTCCAGGCATCAGAGCAGAGATTCCCCTGCAGTCCCTGGTGCAGCCCATGGTGAGGCAGGCTGTGCCTCTGCAGCCCAGGGAGGACCAAAGTGGAGCAGACATCCACGCTACAGCCTGTGGAGGACCCACACTGGAGTGGGTGGATATACCCTGAAGGAAGCTGCAGCCTGTGGAGAGGACCCCACGCAGGAGCAAGTTTTCTGGCAGGAACCATGGCCCATGGGGGACCCACAGTGAAGCAGTCCATTCCCGAAGGACTGTACCCCGTGTAAAGGACCCATGCTGGAGCAGTTCTTGGAGAACTGAAGCCTGTGGGGAGGACCTATGCCGGAGAAGTTTGTGAAGAACTGCATCCCATGGGAGGGAGCCCATGCCAGAGCAGGGGAAAAGTGTGAGGAGGAAGGAGCGGCAGGGACGACGTGTGATGAACTGACCGCAACCCCCATTCCCCATTCCCCTGTGCCACTCAGAGGGAGGAGGTAGAGAAATAGGGAGTGAAGCTGAGCCTGGGAAGAAGGGAGGGGTGGGGTGAAGGTGTTTTAAGATTTAATTTTTATTTATCATCACCCTACTCTTACAATTAATTGGCAATAAATTACATTAATCTTCCCCAAGCTGAGTCTGTTTTGCCTGTATTAGTAACTGTTGAGTGATCTCCCTGTCCTTATCTCAACCCACAAGCTTTCAACTTATTTTCTCCCCCTGTCTTGTTGAGGAGGTGGAGTGAGAGAGCAGCTTGGTGGGCACCTGGCAGTCAGCCCAAGTTAACTGACCACAGAGGGGAATGAAGGAAATCCTATCACTGCTATTTTATGAGGAACATATAATATTAACACCTTCAGAAAAAAATTACCTGTAAGGTAATCAAGGCATTCCAACAATTTCTTCTCCCTAGTAAAATCAAGTGCGAAAGTATCGAAAGTATCGTTGAGATTAATTTCAGGAATTAGAACCTGGGAGGATGCAGTTGCCATGGAAACCCTATAATGAAAAGAAAAAGTCTTTTAGCACCCAAGATACAATAATTTTCACATCAAGGTAGGACCTGATCATTATGATTGTTATCACATCTCAAAAAGCTTGGCAAAACCTTTTACATGTATTTTATTTATGTGGTTTAAGTTAGGAGCTTCTCCTGCAACTTTTATTTTTGTGACTAAAGTCTCCAGTAAAAATCTCTTATAACTTTTGCCTAACATGCAGTGCCAGATAAGTTTTTAACAGAATACTGGTTAAACAACAATATATTTGTTCTTTCTGGAACAGAATAGAATAGAATTGTTCTCTCCAGTCACTCACTCAACCAAAGTAGCAATAGCACCCTATTTATCTGTGTTTTAAGCAATCCTGACAGATGCTGCATCTCTCCCAGCCCTTGTTTTCCCAAGCATTTTCTTGCTGCAGGCATTTCTTGGCACTGCTGTCCCAAGGGCTTGGTGCAGATCCCCACACCTCCTCAGCTGTTCAGCACAGCACACTTGCTGGTAGCTTCAAAAAGCACAGAGGGGAGATAAAACAAACAGATGACAGCATAGTTGGTTTTTAAAAGGCTTTTCCCTGCAAAGCATGTGTGCATACTTACATTTCCTCCAAAACTGAAAAGTTTCCTTGCCTACCTCATTTCAGGAGCTGCATCCACTTTTTGTCTGTCCAGCTGAACTAATTCAGAGAGATGAGCTTTCACAAGCAAACTGCCATAGAATCATAGAATGTTTTGGGTTGGAAGGGACCTTTAGAGGTCATCTAGTCCAGCCCCCCTACGGTGAGCAGGGACACCGTTAACTAGATCAGGTTGCCATCAGGATGCATCTTTCAGATCCTTCAGCCTGATGTCTCAACATGTATGTTACTGGAGAGCTAGATGCTGGATATGTTTACAGAAAGTTTGGTGCGTTTAAGCAAAGAGGTTATTAAACCTCTTTTGTTAATTGTTTGAGTTTGGAGGTAAACACACAACCATGCACACAAGGTATGTCAGTTATCTGTCATTCATGACGCATCAGATCAAAATATTTTGATTGCTTCAATTAACAGTTTCCCAAATGAGAGTATTTCTCTGCAGACATGACTCAAATGGCTCCAAGCCAAATGCTTACTAAAAACTATTTTCATATATTTTTTGTGTAGTATTTTAGGAAAATGCAGTTAGGAAAGTCAAAAACTGAGCTGCGCATCTCGTTGTCTTCAACATAGTTTTCAAAAGCTGAGCTGAGGAGGTTTCCTAGTCAGTAATTCACATTATACAGTTTTCAGCACAGTTTCTTGTGCAACTGTGGTTGCAGAACTTAATTTAAAGTAGGTCCTAGTACAGATAATACGGATGTTTTGGGTTTTTTTAGAGAGAGTAATTGAAGTGTCTTTTGCCCCATGTACTTAGAGGGGAAAATTCCCTGAGCCCTTTCACTTCTTTTTTTTCTCCCTTCCATTCCCCTCCCCACCTTCCAGTAGTTCATCTGCAGTTACACTATGGTGTTTTATATCTAGCAGGAAAAATAGACCTGCTTTTCTGGTAGGGCCTGTGTTAGGGCAAACATTCCTACAAAATTAACAATGGCTTTGCAAAGAAACCAGCAAGCAGGTATCTTTGAATAACTCCATAAAGCACATATTTATTGTGAAGAAGACCATATCACCAGGACCTTTTGGACCTTGGGGTTATGCGAAGGATGCACTGTGAGTACGTGCGTAAAGTCAGTTTTCAATGAGCTCAACGGTTCGCAGTTTCAAACACCGTGTCACCATTCTAGGTTCAGAGGACTGAATTTTCCCTTGTAATTCTGCCTGCTCTATCTGACGCTGTACTTGGTTGGAAAGGGTTTTTTCTAGGCTAAATGCATTTCACCCACTGTAAATAATGCACGACCTAAATCATTGTGGTGTGTGCCATGTCTTTGCTATACATAGTTACCTGTTGTGCTTACAACAGAGAATATTATACTGCAATTACTTTGAAATATGTGCATGAAGAAATGCAATGAGCATAATTTCAGCAGACTGTTTTAGCCGCTGGAGCTCAGGGGCCTGGTGAGACTGTTACATGAGTAGTCTAGAAGCAAACAAAATATTGCTCACCACATGAGAACTAAGAGAGTTACTTGTGGAGAATAATTTATTTGTCAGATTTAGTCTCTTTTTCCACTTGCAATTTGTCTTCAAGCACTTTTTTTTTTCCCCCTCAGTTTTTCTCACTGCTTGAAATGATTCTCTGATTTTCAGGGTGTTCACAGCCATCTCATTACAGACAGCAATCTGCAATAGCCAAGAATTAGGTTTGATTGGGCACATATGTCAGCTGGTCTCATTTCTGCTCTCCGAGTGTCTCTCCTGTGACTGTATTTATGATGCAACTGTTCATGTTTACAAGGTGAAAATGGAGCTTCTCTGAAAATTCTCTGGTAGTCAGCTGAAAAGCTTTGTGTCTCCATAGGTTTCTGCCCTACTGCTCGTTCCACGAAATACTGAAGAAAAGGCCAGACCCTCACCTTCAGCTTTTTGCTCGTGATACTCATGTGGCAGTTTTACTATCTGCTTCAGATGGGAAAACAGAAGTGCCACAATGTAGGCTGGTGACAGAATACAAACCAGGGGCTGAGCCTGACACATCAAATGTAATCCATTGCCTTGCCTTTCTCAACAGATTTTCAATTCTCTGAACCTGTAACAAGCAACCCAGTGTTGCTGGCTTATTTATAAATTGATTAAATTGCTTTGGTGAAGCCTGATATTCATAGAATCTGCATACAGCACTCCAGAGTAAGTAATAGACTGAAAAAAAAAATAAGACAACCAGGGAATTTCATGGTTTGGATTAGGTGAAAACTGGCTGGACAATGTGAAGATATAATGTGATCCCAGAGATAAAAAAAAAAAAAAGCTGAATAAATAAGCATACTTTTAAATAGTTTTCTTCTTCATTGTCTAGATACTTTATCCTTTTTTTGTTGTTTCTCTGGTGGCTAAACAGCTGATAATTCCAACAGAACATTTTTTCATCAGAAAATACTGCTGAATTTAAGTGGGAATGTTTCAGCATTCAGAGTGTTGCACTGAAAACCACACCGAATTTTCTAACAGCAAGGTTTCCTAGAAAGACTTGCGCCCTTGTTTTTGGATCCTTGATATATCTGGCATGCTGAAAAGGTGTTAGGATCCTAGAAGTAGTAGAAATTCCCTGCACTCAGGGACCCAACACAGCAGCTGCCATAGCTTCCAGACACCCATGCTGTTGAATCTCCAGCTCTTTGAGTGGGCCACCTCAGAGATGCATGTTGCAGGTTCCCAAAGTTACACATATTTAAGTCACCTTACTGTTTGCATTTTTGTGAAGAATATGAATCCATTAAGATCATTCCAAATTTCTTCTAAGGGATGCACTTGCTGCCTGATTTCTTCCTCAAGCTCAGAATTTTTCATGGAGAAGGAATTTCAGCCCCCAGAAACCTGCTTTTTTAGTGTGTTTAGTACCAGAGAGCTGCTTGGCATCCCTGCTTCCTCCTTCATTTGCGCATGCTATTACTGTTCTAAATCTTATTTCACATCTTTTTTTGACCACTCTTCTTTTCGAAGGGATGTTTTGGTTTAGCATTACAGTAAGGTCTTTCCCACTCTTGTACAGCACAAAGTAGTGTTTTGGGGAAATATGTCAATTCATCCCCATCTCTTTCACCACATTTGTGGTGGGAGAAGACAAGACAGCAACTATGACAACCCATCTACCTGAAACGAGGTTTTTCTGTTTATCAAGAGGAATGTCTTCTTTACCTTTCAGTGATATTTTTAGCAGTTTGTAGGAAGCGAGCGTGATCGTTCTCCTTCAGCGACTGTTCAGCCTGAGAGATGAGGGATGTCGAGCGCTCAATGCACTGTTTGCAGTTTGCAATCTGCTGCGCCAGTTTTCTCAACCTCACCACCTTGAGTGGAAACATAAGAAAGCAGTCACATCTCTAAGGTCACAAATCATGATTGCATTTGCACTTCCAACGCGAAGCTGGAATGCAAAGGGGGAGTTGAGATGAATGGCTTCACTGACAAGAGCTTCTTTCACATTGGCTTGATGGCGAGCCCCATCTAGCCACGTAACATTTTTAATAAGGGGACAGGCACAGCCTTTCTGCCTCAATATTTTCCACATGGAAAACAACAGGGGAGAGCCAAAACAAGCACAGCTGGCCTATTTTCCAACAGAAAAAACGTCATTTCCTGGTACTTTCTGCTTACATGATAACTAAGGGCTATTTAGATAACCATTTCCCTGAAGTGATGAGATCTGTGTTAAAGGCATCTTGCAGATTAACTACTTTTTGACCCATTACTGAGGTGAGTTTCATAAAAAACAATCTGAAAAACAAACTGGACAGAAAAAGACGGTTCAATTCAACTAACAGTACACGCCTGCCCTTTTAATTACGTGCTTTTAGTCAAATAGGGTGTTTTCTTGTTGAATATTTTTAACTGGACAAAAGCACAGTAGTGCTGGAGAGCTGATTATTATTACTGCAAACTGTGCTGGAGATAAACACAGTAGATGTGACTCTAATCATTAGCTGAAAGGTTAGGGAGGGGCACAGTCAATCCTCCATTTAGAGACAATGTTGGCTACCAAAACTTCTAGTTCCTGAAAGGTCTGGGAGTCCTTCCCATTGTTGTCACATCAGGATCATAGTTTGAACAGGAGTAAGAAATAGGAAGGAAATGAAATAATTCTGGAGTCGAGAAAGGCATTAAGACCCAGTTACATGCAAAATGAGGAAACTAACAACCGGGTGGATTGGCAGAAATATCAAAATTTATAATGAAGATAACATTCCCAATCTCAGAAATTAGGGCATAAACTATGAAGTTGCTGAGTTGAATTTCAGATATAACTGCATCCTAAGCAGAGATAAGGGTATCTTAGCGCACCTATCCGACAACAGAAACCAGCAGGAAAATAAATCTTTTGGAAAACTCAAAAAAAAAATACTGTCCAAATGGTTAGTGTCCTGTAACATTGGTATTCCTTCTAAAGATAGAAACAATAAAGGGAGAAAAATGCTGGGAAAGCATAAACATCTTGATAATGCTAATGATCTGATCAGCTTCTAGGATGAACTCATGCCATAATGTTTTCTCTAACTGTGCATTTGCAGAGATTACAATTTGGTCTACACCAGTCTAACCAGGGAAAGGTTCATTGCAGTATTAAGCAGCTCATCTCTTTATTTACTTATTAATTAACAAAAAACCCCAATGAACTGAAATAAATGTTACCTTGTGAGCTTTTAACAATCAGAAGGCATGTCATGGTTTGTGAGGTCTACATATGAACTAGGTTTTTTGTTTCCTTGATTCTTTTTTATATTTTCTTCAAGAAGACAATTGATGATAAACATTAAAAAGAAGAGTCTCTTCTCACCCACTCCCCCTTCTCCCCCAATGGCAGGAGTGATGTCTGCACTAAAATGATCTTATTCATTTGATATTTAAGTGGTTTTTTCCTGTTACATGCTCTGTGGGATTTTATAGGTTTCGGGTGATAGGTGAGATTAAGGATGGAGCTGCACCACATTGTCAGACTTGTGTGTCTGAGCCTGCAGCACTGCAGCCATGGCTAGAGCTTTATACATGACTATTTCCTGCTCTGTAGCCATAACTATAGTCCTATAGACAAATTAGCCATGCCCTACCTTCCAGGCAGAGCCTTAGTCACAGGCCCTCTTAAAAGAAGGTATATTGGGCAGAATTTCCCGTGGCTTTCCACATGGGTCTCTTAAATCCCTGAAACCTTTCAACATGTATGACATCTGGGGCAAAGCATTCCGGATCTTTGGATGTCCATTGGTATCATTTTTGGTTGAACAAAATAGAACAAAGAATAGGGATAGATTCTGATATCACCTATATTCAAATAAATCTGAGTCAATTGTATTATAATTCTTTCATGCTCTAATGGACATTAGAGCACATCTTTGCAAGCAACAGATTTTTTTAAAAGCTACTCATGTATATAGCACAAATCCAAATGAATGGAAAGTTTTCTACCTCATTGGCAGCACAGCTAGTCTCACTGCGTAGAGAAACAGAGTTGAAACAAGAATGCAGAAGGCCATCTTTTCCATTTTGAAGGGAATTATATTTTGTTAACAGCATGAGGAAATTCAAGTTCTGTCATACAATGTACAGGACCTGTGGTTTCAAACATGTTTAAGTCAGCCCTTGCCTACAGGCTTTTTATTTCACATTAATTGGAGTATCTTGACAGCCACATGAACCATTTAACCTTCTCTTGACTTTCTTCCTTTCCTGAGCTTTTCCCACACAAGAAGAGTTTATATTTGACTTAGTTAGTTTAGTAGTTAAAGAATAAACAACATGTACCTAGAAAATAAGAACATTAATTCAACTCTAATGTGTTTCTGAGTTAACAGGTAGCTAGTAAAATGCATCGAAACCTGAATATCAGATTTTTCCTCCTCAATATGTTTGTCGCTAATAATCATTGTATCTTAGTAATTAGAAATGCACACTTCATTAAATTTCCTGCATGTTTTTGAATATTTTTTTGTAAGTAAGCTAGACTTCCTTGTCTCAAGAATGGCAATTTTTGAAACAAATTTTTTATGTGATAGTATTTTAATAAATCATAAAATTATCTAGACAAACATATTCATGTAGATAATTGCCAACCATGATACCAAATGTTGTGACACTTTGTGAAAGTGAAAACTTTGGGGGAAATACCATCAGACATACAACAGACTGAAGGAATCATTAATTAGTCATCATTTTATTACCAGTAAATGATGGTGACATCATTTCTGTGTTTATCCTTAAAAATCATAGTCACACATAGTAAGAGGCCAAATAAACTGTTGAGGTCTAGCATACTGATCTTGATGTATTTCATTCCTCTCTACAGGTAGTAAAGTAGGTGAAAGTAGCAGTAGCCCAGGACTGCACAACGACTTTTACAAATCCGTATTGATAGTACCCAAGGTCAAAAAGCCATAAGCATGTTGACCTAATTGTGATCTAATGAAGAAAAGCTGTTACCTTTCCTTCCTTGATTTTGGTTCCAATTATTTGTCGTCTTTGCTGGATTATTTCAATGAGCTGGTCACATTCTTCCATCAGCTTGGTTTCCTGGCGGGATGCATTTACCTACAAAGCAAACCATTATGATCAGCAAAAACTTTTTTTGACATTTTCCTTTTCCTTTTTCTAATTTAAAAATTGTAATTTCTAAAATGTCGGGTTTGGCACTTTTTTTTCCTCCTTTCTGTGTATAATCTATGTGTTATTTTGTTTTCCCTGTCTTGGACTTTGTGAAATACTGAAACGAGTTTGAATGTCATGTTTGTAGGAGGTAGGACTTGCAAATAGATACTCATCAGGTATTTCTAACTCAAGTGAGAAAAGCCTGGTCCTGTGAGTACTGAGTGATGTCGGTTATGTTGGACACCAGTGAGAAGTGAAGGCTCTTCAGGAGGTGCTTAACGCATCACAGTTTCAAGCTGTACGCGGGATGTCAGTGAATACCAACACATGCAAGAGCACAAGTACTGGGTCAGACAGTCCATCTAGTGCAGTATCCTGCCTCTCACTGCTGCTACTGCCAGCATCTGCTAGTAAAGCATCTTACGAAGAAGTCCCAACATGTATGATGATTTCCATGAATATTTTTTCATCCTCCAACCATTTGCAGCTCAGAGTCTTCTTGAACCAAACACAATTTTTACATCATTACTAATCCTCAGAAGAGTTATCTTCCGTGGATTTATTCAGTCTCTCCTTCAACCCCTGCAAACTTTAAGTATACCCACCATCCTACAGCAATGAGCACCATAGCTTAACTCACAGTCAAGTGAACAACTGTCTCCTGCTGCATTTAAAGATCTCAAGTTCTTTTACTGGAGAGGACAGTGAACTACTGATACCTATCCACAACCTCTGTGCTGGCTGTGCTTTTACAGATCACTATTTTGTCCGCTAGCAGGACTTCGTTTCCTCATTGAAGAGTTTTAGGTGATTCAGCTTTTACTTGTATGAACTATGAAAGCCATACCATATCTTCAATCATCCTTGTTTTTCTTCTCCAAAACTATGCCAGGTCTATCATCTCCTTTTTGATATGGGGAACAGAACTGTTCTAAGTACTCAAGGTGCAAACAAACTATGGAGTCATACTGTATGACTGTGCAGTCATACAGTACAGTATGTACAGTCTGTTCTCTACTTCACCTTGATTAATTTCATAATGATTCCTAATGTTTGATTTGCTGAATTTAACACTTGAAAATATTGCTTATTATTTTCAGTGTCCATATAGTGGTTCCTGAAAGATTCAAATTACCAAAGATCCAAGCGACATTACCAAGTCATGTGTATTGACTGTCTTTATTATTACCACTTTGCCTCAGCAATGAATCAAATAGAAAATAATGCTGTGCTCATGTAGTTTTCTATAGTATAAATATATGAGCTGGTGAAACTGTTTTTAATGCAAAAAACCTCACAAAGTATATTCTCTTTCTATGGAAAATGTTGACTTTTGTCAAAAACCACGAAAACTTAAACCAGAAAAGTTTTGGTTCTCAGCTGAAAATGTTTTGTTTCTGGGGGAGACCGATTTTTTCAGTGAAAAGTCAACATTCTGTATGACAAGAAAAATGCACTTCCCCACCAGCAGTAGTACGTACATGCTCACATGAAAAGAGTCAGGGGAAAAGGCAAAAAGTTCTAATCATATCTAGGATAAAGGAAAATTTAAAGGAGTGATTTCAGAGATGTGTTTCCATACACACTTTGATAAGAGGGTAAAGCAACTTTCAGCCCTGGGCAATTGCTCCTAGAGCCACGTCACCTTTTCCACTGGGCTTGTAAGAGCTGGTGGTGAACAACAACAGGGAACAGTTCCAGGTGACAAGTAACTGTATTTCACCCCTTGGTTATTTTTTAGTCCAATGAGCCCCTTGATCTGCTTCAGCCTTCTTTTTTTTCTTCTAACAATGTGTTTAAACACGCATTTACCTGTAAGTGCATTATGGAGCTCAAGATTAAGCAATTGCTTACATATCTAAATTTGGACCGGGGCCAGTTTTACAAATAACCTCCTTATGTGAAATACCTTGTGTCCTCCAGGCAAAGAGGGGACTTGTTTACAAAGGCCTGCTTTCATTAAGGTTTTGGATTATCCTTCTCAACCTTTCATAAAACTAAAGTTTGATTGCATATTTTACAGGCTTGATTATTAAGATATCAGGATTATAAAGAGAAAATATATTTGTTTCTGGAACAGATCAGATGGTACTGAAAGTGCTGGGGAGATCTGCATGCAGCAGGTGAAGATGTAGATAGTACTTCCACCGTGCAGTTTTAGGTGCCCATTTATCTCCTTACATTAGCTGTTTGCTCTGCCTGGCTTCCTACCATGGTCCATGAGGAGACACAGACCACGGAGCAGCTCACCCAAAGCCTCTGGCTCCCTCAGGGAGCCTAGAAGGACTAGTCGATCAAAGCTGTCCCTCCTATTCCCCCTCCGCTCATCATCCCACCGCCCCGGCCGCATCACACCCTCCCGTCATGCGCAGCACTTTGGCACGAAACTGCAGAGCTGTTTTCAACCAGCCACCCAGTGCACCAGTTTCCCCAGCCCTGACTCCAGTTTTTGCTCAGTCAGGGGCAATGGTCACATCCAGTGTACATGGGTGCAACTCCTTCTGTGTCGATACTAAGGTCTGCTCTGACTTTGGCACTTTTAATTACAGTAACGCTTTACAGGATTTTTGTGTAGCTTCCACTCAAAGTGTTACTTCTATCGCCACTTACATCATGAATTTGTTTTGTCAGGCAGATATCATTAATCCTTGGGGTAACTGTCATGAAATATAGAGTTATGGGAAGGTTAAGTCAACATTGTTTCATTTAATGCTCTGGTTGGTTTGAATAATAAAGTATTAACTAAATCTGAACTTAAACAACTCTGGACTAAGAAAAACAAAATGCTTGGGAAAAACCTTTAGATTTCTTACACACTGACTGCAGACTTCTCTTTTTCTTTGAAATCTGAAAAGTGTACTCTTTTATGAAATTCATTTGAAGAAATTTCCAACTTTATAGCTTGAACAAGCTTATTGAAAGTGAAAAGAATATTCCAAAATTACTTGATATGTCTGAGCTTTGTATGAAAAAAAAAACCATTTAATCTGGGGGCTTTTCTCAAGTTTAAATAGTCCTTAATCAAATTTTAAGCCTACAAGGCCTCTGATTCAGTAATAACTTTATAATTGAGCACATGCCTAAGTTTAACTGCACTGTATTAGCTGCGGCCCTAAAGGGACTATTTGTGAGATTAGCATTGAATATTATTTACTTGTATGTTTCTGAGGAGTCATATGTCAGACCAAAGAGCCACAGGCATGGAGCTGTACAGGTGCTACAGAAATACCAGAATAAGGCTCTGCCGTCTGCTTGAGTCCTTTGATGAACAGCAACCTTGACAATAACTTCCAGCTGGGACTGGCCAAGGAATGCGAGTACTGTCTGGTGAAAATATTTGAGGTTTTACGTTCTACATTTTTCCACATTAAAAACAAGCCCTCTTTCCAAGGAGTTCGTTAAAAGGGACGGAGAGCTGCATTAGAAAAGTCTGGAGACTGCATTGCTCACTTTGGTTGTGGGAGGCTCTGAATCATGCAGAGAGCAGCCTTAACTCTGGGCTTCCTCCACCCCAGTTGAATGTTGACTCCTTAAGCTGAGGTATCTATTGCCTGAGAGTTTATGCTGGACTTGGGAACAATTTCTGTAGAAAATTTCACTGACATCAATGCTCTTAGTTTTGGCATCGACAAACTACTTAAAAATCCACATCCAGAACTACTTCGAACCTCAAGCATTGTGTTTTGTTGGTATAATTTTTGAAAAACTTCTCTTCCATGCCACAAAACTTTTAAAACTGACTAGGTGGCCTTGTTACAATTTATCAAAAATGATGCCATTTTACACTACAAACAAGCAAGCAAGGACCGATTCTAGTCCTGCTGCTTTTGGGGGGAATTTCTTCCTTTTCCTGTAATATCTGAAGACCTCAGACAGTTTACTGAAAAAAAAGGAAAAATTGAGGGTTCTTTCCAGGTTTTCCAGACAGATGGATAGAGACTGCTGGCCTTTGCCTCAGGGAGTGGGTGTAGAAAAAAAAGAAAAATGGGGGTTCCTCAGATGTCTGACAGGGAGCTGGAAACAACAAGCCCTCCCAACCCGAAGGGGAGAACAGGCCAGCTGTTCCCATCTCCACAAGCTGAGAACTGCTTTGGAAAGTGTTCTGCTCTCTGCAGAGGCTTCCTTGGCTTTCATCTTCAGAGACCTGAGTTAAATTGCAGTTTAGGTCATAAGAAAATGAATGTGGTGGTTTCAAAGTCCCCAGCAGATGTTTGGGAAATCACACAACTACAATATGGCCAGAGGTTCAAGGTTACTGGGGAGCTTCTCTGGTTAATTCAAATGCAAACAGAGTGTCAGAGGGCTAGATTCATACCCACAAAAACTTCCCCAACTAATGTACTGGAATTGAAGGATTTCTTAGTGTCTCGGCAGAATTTTCCTTGCAGGAGCAAAACTTTCCCTCTGGGATTCCTTACAGGTGGGGCAATTTTGCCCACAAGGGGAAATGCAAATAATCTCTAAACGATAAACAAAATAAGACACCCTAAGTTAGAGGTGGCCTGCTTTTTTAAGACTACACTGTCTGGGATAAATTAATCAAAGACAGAGTAATTTTTATTCTTTAGTCCTCCACTAGTTATGCAAAAAGAAATAAAACAGGTTGTAGAAAGACTCTGATCTTTGGAACATGAGGTAAGAATTTGAGTTTCAGCTTTACTATTTAAAAATCGTCTCAATGCCTCAAAAATAATTTCTTTGCAGCTGTGGCCTTCCAGGTAAAGAAGAGGTACCAGCTTTTCTTTATGGATTTGAGTTGATGGTTATAGAATTACTATATACTCACAAATAAACAAAAACATCAGAAAAGCAAATTGTAATGATTCCACTTCTGTAACATCATTGCTACATATTTCAATCTAGATTTTGAGCCTGAATTCCTCCTTACACCAAATTCAGAAACTGAGGAAAAAAAAATAATCTAAAATGATGACATATAATGT